ATGTTTTTAGGGAACAGCCTTGCCTAAGGTAAAATATTCTGATTAAATTAGATAAGGGGAACTTTTTTTCCCTCTTCTTGTGTTTAAGCTCAGTGGAAAACAAAGACCAGGTTTCGGCTGATGTTAAATTATCCAACCCGTTGTCAAGGTAAGACATGGAAGAAAAACATTTAAAGACAAGTTTACCGCCATTTTCTGTTAGTTCAGAGACTACTGTCTGTTTTAATGTGACAAACTGATTCTGAGAAGAACTCTTATAGGGATGAAGAGGATTGTGTAACTGATGCTCAGATAGATTTGTCTTTTTTCATAAGAGACATTTGACTGCTAATCAGTACAAAGTTGTTTTGAGTCATCACTCCTCGGTCCTGGGTAAATGGTTCTTTGTAAGAGATAATAATGTGTCCAGCTGCATCCTCGGATGCAAGCCCCAACAGTTACAGTAGAAAACACTCAGGAGTTGGTTTTACAAGTAAGACTTCCTGATGACCATAAAGCTGAAAATATGTCAGTCTTTCCAATTCTTTTTAACCATAGAGATATATATTGACACATCTTTGCTTCAATAAATATAAGCTAAAAAATGTACTGTCTTCTCTGTGTCCTCAGTGTTGATAATAAATCCCATTCCCAGGCTGACAAAGGTAAGCATGAATCTGTGTAAAAAAATTATCACACTGGCTTTAAATTATTTACGATTATTTACAGTTTTACCAGATATAAAAAAGAAATGTTAACTTCAAATTATATTTTTTAATTCCCTGGTTTGTTATACTTTGCTTTTTTAATCAGTTTCAAATTAGGCTTATTTGCAAAGTAAGAATATTTATTGTCTGTATTAAAGAGTTGTATGTACTGTATGTATTTTTAATCTTCACATTGTTACTATCATCTGTCTTAGAAACCAACGGGGAACTGGAAGAGTTACAGTCAAAGATGAAAAAAAGATTTCTTGAGGAAATATCTTTTGATAAAGAGGAAAACCATCCTAACCAGAAAACAACAGAGCATATCATCAGAGAAAAACGTGGCTCTAAAGAAGGGGAAAGTCAACAGAAAAAGCCAGTAAAATTGAAAGCGGCTTCAGAGATCTTCAAAGAAGAAAAAGGGAATAAAATAAGAACAGTGCTGACTATTGGAGAAGCTGGAATAGGAAAATCTTTTCATTTGCAAAAATTTACAAAAGAGTGGGCTGAAAATAATAACAAGACCTCGCGGATTTTCTCTTTAAAAACACAGGCCCTCTCTTCTACGGAGAAAAAAGTAGAACTTTTATTTCCTCTTAACTTCTCAAAGCTCAACTTTGTAAAAGAGAAAAAAATCAGCTTGCTTGAACTTCTCAACCATTTCTTTAAGGAAACCAAGAATATCATTATCTCAGACTATTCTCAGTTAGGAATTGTATTTCTTTTAGATGGACTTGATGCATATCAACAATCTTTAGACTTT